TTTTAACCGGTACAGGCAAAAGAGAGCACATTACACCAGTTTTGGCCTCCCTGCACTGGCTCCCAGTTCACTTTCAAATTCAGTTCAAAATCCTTTTGTACGTTTTGAAATCGCTGAACAGTTCTGCCCCTTACCTCATTGATCTGCTGCAGCCATATGTCCCACAACGATCTCTGAGGTCAGTGAATCAAATGCTTCTTTCGGTTCCAGGAACCTGTCGTAAGCTTAGCGGTGACAGAACCTTCTCTGTTGCAGGTCCAAGACTGTGGAATGAGTTACCACTGCATGTCAGGAAGGCCCCTTCTCTCACTGTTTTTAAGTCTCTCTCTTAAAAACCCACTTTTATTCCCTGGTCTTTGACACTGTGATTTGTTTTTAACCTGTCTGTATTCTACAATGTTAGCCATTTAGTTATTATTTTTCTTCCATTCTTATCTATGTTTTTATTTTATTTTATGTTTTGCTGTGTGCTTTGCTTGCATACACACATACATAAATGTTGTCTGTTTAAAAGTAAGTAAGTGCTACGTGTCGTCCTTATTGTTTGTTCATTCTCATACACTGACAAAATTAGTTTTCTGCATTTAACCCATCACACCTGAAACACAGCCAGGTGGAGCAGTGGGCACCTATGTACTGTAAGTGCCCGGGGAGCAATTGGGGATTAGGTGTCTTGCTCAAGGCCACCACGACATACGGGCATGGTTGGGAATCGAACCGTGACTTTCTGGTCCCAAATTGGCTGGTCTACCTCTACACCATCTCAGCCCCTAAAAACATAAAACAGGTCTCTCTTGTGATGAAATGAGGCCTCGCGACTCAATGAGACTACCTGTATAAATAAAGGTTGAATGAATAAATGAGTTGTAGATGCATATCCAGTGAGTACATTCTACAAGTGTCATTAAAATCCATTCAGTGGTTCACGAGATATTTTGCTAACAGGCAGAACCGATTCCAATAGTTGATAGCAATATTTTAAACAATTCTTGTTCAGTCACTTAACGATCAGAGTGCAAGCTTGGTGTCATAAATTTTGACTTGGTCAAACTGCGTCACAAGATATTTTGCTAACAGTTCAGACAACTGAACACACACTGACACATGTAAAACCATTAAAGCTCCACCTTCACCTTCAGCAGTAGGCGATAAATATTTACTTTCTGAAATGCTCCAAATGGACAGTACACGCTGCTGCATTTCCTGTTTTAATGTGAGCTTTCTGCTTCCTAAGCACTGAGATCGGCGTGCAGAGGAAACGCTTATTGCCTTGGAAAATTTCATCAGAGGATCAAAGCGTTTGAAGAGGGGGAGGTGGGCCGGCAGGAGGGCCCAAGAATAAAGTGTAATGTCCAATTAGGACTTCCAGCGTTCTAATTAAAGGGGGGAAAAAAACTGTATCGGCACGCACACACACAGTCAGCTGTCAGATGTTAACATCAGCCGGGGGAAAGGGGGAGGACAGAGGGAGATAAAACCATGCTGCTGTGCTCAGCAGTCACTGTGTGAGGAGCGTGTGAATGTGAGAGCTAAGTAATGGATAATTATTCAGTGGTAATGATCTATTAACAGGTATTGTCTGTGTAACGTCCCGTGGAAATACTCAGCAGCTTTTTAGTCTTCGAATATGACAAAGGAGAAAAATACCGTCGTGGAAAAATGCGATTCCCAAAACGATCGGGTGTAGACTTCATCCATATTTACTTACAAAGCTTTGGAGAACAGGCAATAATCACAGAAGATCAATGCATTTGCAAGTACAAAATGATCAATGCCTTCCCCTGTCTGCGGTTCTGACCCGTTCTAACTTCCTGAACTGAATTAGAATTCATCAGGGGCTGCTCCGCCCCTTCACATTGTCCTAGTGTTTTCAGAATCAAAACCAGCAGCCATAGGCATCTCAACAATCGTATGTGAAAGAGTCGTATCCCCCGCACATTTAAAAAATATTCATTTCAACACCCCCCCCCCCACACACACACACACACACACACACACATTTATCATGGAATATTTGTTCTCCCAGTGCTGTTTTTATTCCTTCATGATAAAATCCATTTCACTTGATTAATAGGAGAATACTCAAACCACTAAAAGTCCACTACAGGTTTTCCTGGTTACCTACAACAACTCACCACACCGCATGCACGGTTTCCTCTAGATCACTTGGCTTGGCAGTGTGCTCATCTTTTTCGGGGGGGTTTGTGGACTGGGTGTGGGGAGGAGGGGAAGACACCTTTGTGATGCACCCTAGCTTACTACCACGTTAGTGCCGGCAGTTGTCGTCCAGGATAGTGGATTGCGGGGTTAGGATGCATGAAAGAAGTGTAGCATCTTAGTTAGCACATCTGTATTGTGTGCCCATAGCGTAGCGCTACATTAGTGCCGGCAGTTGTCAACCAGGATGGGGGTGGGGGGTTAGGATGCATGAAAGAAGTGGACAGCTATGTCTGTAGCATCTTAGCTAGCACATCTGTATTGTGCGCCCT